TTTCTATATTTATTTAAGCCTCATAAAAATTATTAGGGTCAATTATGGAATTATTTCCTAATTTCACATAATTAATTAATTAACTTCATTAATTAACGGTGCGGGTTCTTACAACTATCAAAGTACGATTTTATGTCATTGAATATGCCTCTGCATACAATGTTATTTTAGGAAGACCAACTATTGCCGCGTTAAAGGCAATCATTTCTATGCCCCACCTTTTAATCAAATTCCGTGACATGTCTGGTACGGTAGTTGTCATTACGGGCGACCAGAAGACAACACGCAGTTGTTATAACACTAGTTTACGAGCTAAAACTCCAATACAGCTGGATGACAAAGCCAAAGCATCAGTCAATATGATCGATCTTGATGTGCGCGAAGATCTGCGCGATACACGTCCTCTACCCGATGGTGAGTTGGAAAATCTCCAAGTTGGACCACTACCCGAAAACGTTACCAAGATTGGACGACATCTAGCAGAAGCAGAAAAAAGTACGCTAGTGGCAGTGCTGCAAAAAAATAAATACCTCTTTGCATGGACAACGGCTGACATGCCAGGCATAGACCCAGACATAATATGTCACCATTTAACCTTAGCTCCAAAAGCTAAACCCATCGCACAGAAGAAGTGCAAAATATTCCCGGAGAAACAACAGGTGGTTGAAACTGAAGTAGCAAAACTGCTTGATGCAGGAGTGATTAGAGAAATCACTTATTCTACTTGGCTTTCTAACGTCGTGTTAGTCAAAAAAGCCAACAGGAAGTGGCGCATGTGTACAGATTTCACAGACCTTAACAAATACTGCCCAAAGGACTTTTATCCTCTCCCCACCATTGACAAATTGGTCGATAACTCCGCAGGATACCAGATTCTATCCTTTATGGATGCCTATTCAGGCTACAACCAGATCCCGATGTTCAAACCAGACGAGGAAGCTACAACTTTTATCACTGAAAAAGCTACTTATTGTTATAATATGATGCCGTTTAGTCTCAAGAACGCTGGTGCCACATATCAACGTATGATGAATAAAGTTTTTAGCCAGCAGATTGGTCAAATGCTTGAGGTGTACATTGATGACATGATAGTCAAAACAATGACTACTTCACAACATCCTCATGATTTAGAGCAGGTATTTCAACAATTGCGCAAATATAGGTTACGTCTTAACCCAGCCAAATGCGCGTTTGGGGTACATGCTGGAAAATTTTTAGGATTCATGCTAATACATCGAGGGATACAGGCTAATCCTGATAAACGCAGAGCCATACTCAACATGACAAGCCCGCACAACATAAAGAAATTACAGCAATTAACTGGAAGAATCACTGCCTTAACTCGATTCCTTCCTGCCTCGGCATAGAAATCGCTACCAATGTTTAAGCTATTGCACAAACAAACAGACTTTAACTGGACTTCAGAATGCGAAGCAAGATTCATGGCCATCAAAGAACACTTGGCCAAACCACCAGTCTTGGTCAAGCCTCAACCAGATGAACCTCTGGTTCTTTACCTTTCAGTCAGCAACGAGGCCATAAGCGCTATCTAATTGCGCGAAGATTCCCAGGAACAACAGCCAATCTACTTTGTCAGCAAAGCACTCCAAGGACCAAAATTGCGTTATCAATAGATAGAAAAGGTAGCTTTCGCACTTATTCTTACATCGCGACGTTTGCACCATTATTTGTAGGGGCACACCATCAAGGTTCGAACAAACCAGCCCCTTCGACAGGTGCTGAGACAACCTGATCAGGCCAGTCGCATGATTTCATGGTCAATAGAGTTATCTAAATACAACATCATTTACGAACCACGTCAAACAATCAAAGCTCAGGTATTAGCTGATTTCCTCGTCGAAATGACACACCTACATCAGGCTAAGGTGAATGACGATTGAATTATTTTTGTCGATGGATCTTCCAATGTCAAAGGAAGTGGTGCAAGAGTTATCGTGGTAATCCCTCAAGGTATAACAGTGGAACATTCTATCCACTTTGGGTTTAAAGCCTCAAACAACCAAGCCGAGTATGAAGCGATCCTCGCAGGACTCGTAATGGCAAAAGACTTGGGGGCAACAAAAATAATCCTCAAAAGCGATTCACAATTGGTAGTTGCACAAGTACAAGGGAGTTACTACGCAAAAGAAGCATTAATGATAAAATATCTTGAAAAGGTGAGATTACTATTAACAGAGTTTCAAAGCTTCAAGATGGAGCACATCCCCAGAGAGCAAAATTCGCGAGCCGATATTTTGTCTAAATTAGCCAGCACAAAGGGACTATGAAATAATAGATCAGTCATCCAGCAAAGCGTCCCCAATCCTAGCATTATAATGGCTGTAACTAAACGAAAAGCTCATCCCTCTCAAAGTGCACAATTCATGGTCGAGGATGATACCATGCCACTGGATGATAAAGATACATGGATGACACCAATTTGGAACTACTTGTATAAAAGAGAAACACCACAAGAACCGCGCACAACAAAAAAGCTAGCGCGCAAGGCTTCATTCTATACTATCATCAATGACCAGCTGTACAAAAAAGGATTTTCTTCTCCAATGCTTAAATGCCTGGATCCCCAACAAGCTCAGTATGTAATCTCCGAGGTTCATGAGGAGACTTGCGGACATCACATGGGAGGTAAATCCTTATCTAGAAAACTGTTTCGAGCAGGTTATTTCTGGCCCACTATGGAAGAAGATTCTAAAAAACATGTGCGGCATTGTGTCAAATGTCAAGAGCACGCAGACTTGTACCATGCTCCCCCAGAGGAATTATCTTCAATATTATCCCCTTGGCCATTCTACCAATGGGGCATGGATATATTGGGACCATTCCCAATTGTTGTAGGAGGGGTAAAATGGTTACTAGTAGCAATCAACTACTTTTCCAAATGGATTGAAGCAGAGGCCTTAGCCATGATATCAGTGAGTAAGGTTCGCCGATTCTTCTATCGACAAATCATAAGCCGGTCTGGCATTCCTTATACCATCATAACTGATAATGGTACGCAGTTCGTGGATAAAAAATTCATTTAAATACTTCAAGACTTGCATGTCAAACACAGATACACATATGTGGAACATCCACAAACAAATGGATTGGCAGAAGTTGCAAATCGAGTCTTAAAACGAGGATTGAAAAGAAGATTAGAAGCAGCTAAAGGAGACTGGCTTGAACAATTAGACTTTGTGTTATGGGGCTACAGAACAACCACGCATTCAACTACAGGGGAAACCCCGTTCCGCATGGTTTATGGTAGTGAAGCCATGATTCCAGTTGAAATTGGAGAGCCATCATGGAGAAGGATGTACACGAATGAAGATAGCAATTCGCAGGCATTACTCCATAACTTGGATGCAATCAATGAAGTGCGCAAAATTGCTCATGTCAAGCAGGTAGCATTAAAGCAAAGAATTACAATGCGCTATAACTTAAAAGTTGTCCGACGCAGTCTCAACATAGGCGACTTAGTCCTACGAAGAGCGGACATTGGCAATAAGAACACGCTACAAGGTAAACTAGCCGCGAATTGGGAAGGTCCATATCGCATCCGCAACAAAACTGATAAGGGTGCATATGTCATTGAGACGTTGTCTGGCTTTACTATCCTGCGCACATGGAACACGGACAAGCTTAAAATATTTTTTAGCTAAGCCTTTTCTTGTTCGTAGCATATTTGTCTTTTCAATTTTTCTTTCCAACTTATCAATTAACGATTGCAAATTTCTCCATCATTGATACATATTGCATCGCACATATACATAAGTGGACAGGGTCACAACATGTCCACAATTGCCCAACCATAAGGGAGCGATACTGCATAACGCGATGGCTTCCAACTTACGGGATCCTCCAAAAGGATCCTCCAATCTCAAGGATCCCTCATAAGGATCCTCCAACTTAACAGGATCCCTCACAATGATCCTCCAATCTCAAGGATCCCTCATAAGGATCCTCCAACTTAAAAGGATCCCTCACAAGGATTCTCGAATCTCAAGGATCCCTCATAAAGATCCTCCAACTTAACAGGATCCCTCACAAGGATCCTTCAATCTCAAGGATCCCTCACAAGGATCCTCCAACTAGACAGGATCCCTCATAAGGATCCTCCAATTTACAGGATCCCCCAAAAGGATCCTCCAAATTCACAGCGCGATCTTAGGAGTTCCATCGCGATTTTCCAAGTTCTAGCGCGATACAAGGTAGGATAAACCTTAACTAGGTCAAACTCCTTCCAAAGCGCGATACGTCTAGCATATGTCATGCACAAACCACAAATGAAGTCATATCTCGAAAGCACGCCAACAACAACGGTAAGCAAACTATATGCATTATAATTTGGTGAATTATTGCAGATATTCGCCTATGGTTCTCAAGTACCACACAAAGCACGAACCATAGTTCCAGTTAAGGGAACTAAAACGCTGATCTGTTGCGCGAACAAGGAAGGAACACAATGCTTTCCAAACACACATAAACTCCCATGGCATTATCTCGGGAAACACCCCAATATCCTCAGGAAAAACCTCAAGGAAGAGAAGAAGGATGAGGAGGGTAATATTCCTCGAAGGTTATCAACTTTTGACATAACCACATATGAGTCCACTATCGCGTCTTCTGAACAGTAAGGTACGTCGGCAATATCTCTGTTATGCCATTGTTCTTCATCTTCATATTTACCCTACGGTATACCACATGCATGGTATACAGTCATTACACATCCATAAGTAAGAGAAACAGATAACAAAGTAGCCATTACAGCCTATATAGCATCCATTTTTTTCAAACAGTATTATCTCAAAACAAACTGGAGGAGTAAGCATTGTCTCGAACAAATTGGGGATACCCCCCTTACAGACCAAAATTCCAGAAAAGTTTTAAACAAAATCACACTGTCTGAATAGACATGTCCTGAGGACCATCATTATCTTCAACGCGATCCTCACCCGCGATAGGTGGTCCTTGAGGGGTTGGCTATTGCATGGACGGCGAGATAGTCTCAGTATCCATCGCGCTAATTAGCTCCACTGAAACTTCTTGATCTTGGTCATTCAGCGTCATCAGCTGGTCATCCTTGAAATAGTAATAATAATGGACGTTCTCCATTTTCGCCGAAGGGTTGAAGAAGTGGACTTGCTCTATGATATTGGAATAGGTTCCCTCAGCCTCCCTCTAAAATAAACCTTGATACTTCTTAACCTCACTGGTTAAGACAACCTTCTCCTCGGCCCATGTATCAGCATTTCCTTCCAGCTCCATGACACGCTTGTTCAGATCAACTTTATCCGCTTCCAACCTCTTCTGGGAGGTTGTCATTTCTTTCAGAGCATTGCCCTTCTTCTCCAAGTTAGCCTTCATCTTGGTCATTTCTTCTTCAGCTTTCTTTAGCTTCTCTTCGAAGTCGGTGCGTTGTTGAGCGATATCACCCTTCAGCTCATCAATACGTTCCTTCAAAAAGTCCACAGAACCTGCTACATAGAAACAGGTTATAATTAAATGCACGATATCATATTTCAAAAATAAAAGCGAAGTAGCAAGTCACTTACCAGGTACGGACATGATGAACTGGTTCACTATGCTAAGATTGATAGAAGTTTTCAGCCATTTTTCTCTTGGCAGTGCTTCAATGCGCGGTCCAACTTCTTTCCCTTTGGCATACATATCTTTGTCAAACTCCCAGCCTTCACCAAAATAAACAAAGTCTGGCCAACCGACATTGGACTTCCCGGCCATCTCCTCAAAACTTCTTTTCTTCCCCTTCGCGGTATCTTCCGTCACCTTTTCAGGAGGGTTGACATCCACAGGGGCAGTAGGAGGACTTAAAGGCTTCATTGGTGACTTCAACCGCGCGGATGCATTCTTTCTTGATTCCGCGATCATGGTAGTTGCAGACATGGAAGGCTTGGCAGGCATTGAAGGACTAGCCCCAGTAGCACCGCGATTGGCCGCTATCTTCTCCAACCTGCTCAACGAAGCCTCCATTGAACTATCTGCAACAAAATTGGAAAACGGCATGCACACTAGACATATCCAAACATCTTTATACATTGCGCTATACAAAGTTCTTCATACAGGAACTCAACAAACAAATAGAGATATAAGTTACCCAAATAAGCTCAGATATCATCATCCGAATATTCATTCAAGATGGTGTACGTGCTCAATGAGCCCGAATCAGAAGCTTCACGAGCAATATTACTCAGAGTGGTCACAGTCTTCTGCTCCAAATCACTTAAGTCATCAAAATTATAACTCAAGTTGGAACCTTCTAAAGAATGCTCGGTCCAGTATAAAGGAAAGATGGGAGTCCCATCATCTCCTAAGAAAAGGGGGTGGTATCTTTGGTAGGATAAATTTTGAAGTATCCCGTGGTCCACTTATTGATCTTCCTGCAGTACGATTCATAGAACTTCACCTTGCTTCTAAACGACATCCAGCTAGAACGCGTTCCCATCACACTAAACATATACAAGAATGACTCTACTGATTGAAAAAGATCATAGGCCTTGCAGACCATCTCATATACTTTGATAAAATCCCAGGCATTGGGGGTCAGTTGTGAAGGCGCCACATTCAAATGCGCCAGCAGTTTACAAACAAATGAGGAAAATGGGAGACACACTCTTATGGACAAGAAAAAATAGGAATACATCATCATGAAATGCCTGGTTGATCCTTCTGCCCGCGAAGAACAAACACGCTCATTCTTGGGGACGACGTCAACATCCCACTGATCATCAAAAGATTTATCAGGAGTAAGGTGGATAGCAGCTGTTACTTCCGCCAGCTCTCCTGGAGAACAAAACACAGACTCGGTATCTAAAATCGTATTTGTTACCCAACCTAGGGATTCCTCATCCCGCAAGTTCTGCTTGATAGGAGACTCTTCTTCTGGATCAAAGTGTATAACTTTCTTTTGTTTCTTCTTTTCGGTAGCGCCACGCTTCTCGGTAGCACCGCGTTTGGCCATTATTTCCTTGATTTGAAGAGACACAAAATCTGATTCAGAAGAGGAAGAATCAGTAGATGAAGACGAATAAGAGGAAGCGGAGACAGCAAATGCAGATTTATAATTATCAAAATTCCTTTTCTTAAAAGGATACCCTGCCGGATATATTACATTTAACGGTAAGGGACTTGGACTTTTTCGACCGCGATACTCTTGCGCGATAGGAAGTGAAGTATTGCACAACATGTTTGGAGAAGATGGTTTAGGATCTCCTGTATTTTCAGACATACCACTACTACCACTACATTCAGAACTTGAGGAGGAATCACTCGAAATTAAAATGGGCCTAAACATTCTAAAGGAAACTTGGGGAAACAAAGATGAACTTTGTTAAGAAAATGTCTTTCCGCGACTTGGTTGTCGCGAAGATGATCCTAATTCGAACCCGTGAACAGCAGGGACACGACTATCATTTGCACATACTTTGGGACAGGGGGCAACACACTCCTCAGTAGGCCGTTCTTCCCTAGTTCCCAACGACCTTGACCTAGGTAACAATCTCGAAGGAGGACTGGACGAGCCAGACTGTTCGAATAATCTGATAAAGTCCGCACATTTGTGATTATCAGACATGCCTCAAGCACGAAGAAGGAAGACTAAAAAGCAAAGATAATTAAGCAGACAAGATAAATAAAGAAAGAAGAAGAACACACCTGAAATTTATACTTCGGATTAGCAGCCACGAGCAGGATGTGTCAACACCAGAAATGCAGAAAGCAAGCACTGTGGAGCAAAGGATTTCTCACCATATCAACGAAGTCTTTTCCCTCTAAACTCACAAGCTCAGTACAAATACAAAATATTTTCTCAAACGGATAGTCCGAAAGGCACCAAAACGTGTTGAGTAAAACAGTTTTGCAGGGACACGTGGCGAGAAGGGGAAGCGTTTTTACTTCAAAAACCACCCACGCTTACCCTTAAACACTCACGTAACGACACTAGCATTTAATGCTTCTGACAGTTAAACGTCTAATCCACCATTCTTAAGCGGCTAAAAATCATGATGACACTTTAACATGATTACTGCGGCAAACAGAAAAGACATATGGGAAGTCACTATCGCGCTTCAACGACATATAGCTCACAACTTTGTCACAAGACAAATCCGCAAGCTAGGGGGCAACTGATCCAGATAAAATATAAAGCCCGTTAGAGGCCCAATGACATACAGAGAAGCCCAAACCCATTAAGGATCCAGAGCAAAGCACGATGGACAAACATTGCGCATAAGACGCGATGCCCTCATCGTGCTGGACAAGACGCGATGCCCATATCGCGGATAAAACCCCCTTAAGGAAGCTAACTTAAGGCCCAAGGCAATCCCACCGTGCCTTTATTCCAATGAACGACAGATAGCTCCAGCTTGCCGCGACTCTACTACTGGACATTAAAGAAGATAAGGCTACTCAGGTCCTAGCACTGACCTGTAGCCCAAGCCTGGCCACTTAAAGGCCAAGCCGCCTTGCTAAGGCGGCATCATAACCACTATATAAACAAAAGGTACAACACCAAGGTACGATCATCCTTCACTTTAATAACATACAAACACCTGCCTCTGATACTGACTTAAGCATCAGAGTGTCTTCGCAAGTACCCCCCATTCCGATCCAATGCGCTACAACAAAGGACAGAGACATAGTAAGATCCAACCTCAACTCCAGGCCCAAGACTGAGAACAACAATTCATATCTCAATCGTGTGTGATTAGGCCTGATCAGGACCAATACTTAAAATCATTGGTTAGTTGAGAATGTATTTGTTTTTTTCTTTCTACCTTAAATATACATTTTCTTATTTGTAAGTATCTTTAAATTTCATTTGTAAAGAATTTTCTTTCTCGAAAAAAGAAAGATTTGATAACCATAAAAAGCTATTTGTGCCACTACTATAAATAAAAGGTCCTTCATTCCAATATTGAAATAATAACGTTATTTATACATAAAACTTCTTATATTACTCACATAATTCTTATTGTAACACCCCGTATATATCCGGTAATGTTATCATATCATCGTATTAAGCTGCACTTAATTAAAATTGCAGAATAACTTTTTCTTTTCAATTATGACGTTATTATACTTAACCAAGTAGAATACTTAATTCATTTTCAAAGCATTACCTGTATGTAAATTGCAAAAGACAGCTAACTGAAATACCTCATTAATAAAACAACATAAATATGTCTCTAGTCACAGAACTACAACACGTAGACCGGACAAACTAACAGTTTATACAACTCCAACTAACAGTACTAACATCAAGTGGCATGTACAAACCCCATGCTCCACAAATAAGGCAACAAGCCCAACATAGTCTCAACAACAACATCATAATAAAATAAAGCTAAAAGCATAACATCAGCAGATATATCCAGCATCCAAACATGTCAGCAAATAAACAGCAATAATCATCAACTAAGCTCCTGCCTTTTGCCGCCAGAGGCATCAGCCCCCAAATTACCTGAACCTGAAATAAGCGCCCCCAAACGTGGGGTGAGATCTCTAAACAAGAAATCTCAGTAAGACAAGGGTTCCTCAAGGATCTTCCACCCCAAGCTCACTTACATGTGCAATATAAGTTCAAAAGCAGTTTACCAATATAATTTCCAAAATAGTGCAATGCAACAGATAATCATATCATGTGTGTCAATTCTATTCTACTGATCAGAGAAATGAAGGAATACGTCTATTACCCACACAATATGCAAGACGCTACTTGCACCCACTCACGGGCTCACCATCTTGTATGACGCTACATACTCAGGCTTACTGACTAAGTGGAAACAACACATACATATTATAATTCATTGCACATATCAGCTCAAAAGCATTTCAAAATATCCAAAGCATGTAACAACATGCATATAAACCATTCCCCCATGAGGTATGGTGGAACCACAACATGGCTAAACCGAGGACACAAAAGTTTACCTTGCAAGCTAACTATCCAAGTCAAGAGTCCGCACAAGCTCAAGGCCCACATACAGCACAATCACAATCTGTTTATATCAGAAATATCATTAATAACCATACTTTAAAGGTTCATTTCATTATGACAATATTTCCTTATTCGATTACATCTTTTCTAGTTCATAATTATCAAGCATTAAGTCCCTCAATTAAAGGTATCATTGTTTTCCAACAGTAATACAAACTTCCTAGGCCATCATGCCCAAAATGGGACTAACCCACGCATAAAACTGGTTTCTGGTCATTTTCACAGGTGGTAATCGATTGCCAAGGGCGTGGTAATCGATTACTGCACATGGTAATCGATTACCATCAGCAAGGTAATCGATTACTGCACATGGTAATCGATTACCAACCAAAAGTAATCGATTACCACGCGGGCAGAACAGTTTTTCTGCACACTCCGAAGCAAAAATGTCACCCAATTACCCAAGGTTCAGTTTTGACCCAAAACAGATATTCATTAACACTTATTAGCCTTAGATTAACAACCCTAAGCTTGAATGATCAAATTTATCTCATTTCATAACATAAACAAGCTATTTTCATGAAAATTTAAAGGGAAGTTCAAAGTATACCAATGGGGTCCAAACTCAGCAACAAAGAAGGCTCTTGGAGCTCTCTAACAATGCTAAAAAATGCTGACTTTAAGGAACCACGAAAATACAACACAAGGTGAGTTCTTTCTCTTCAAAGATCACATTTTGAAGCACCAAATGCCATGACAATGGCCTTTCCAAGGAAAACTCACCAACTCAGCCCACAAAACCCACAAACCAGAAGCCACACTCAACAACAAGGCTCCTCACCCTTCTCACAACCAACTACTAAGTGTTTACAAGGTTAAGTGTGAAGGAATCATGCATAAAGATGATCACTTGGAGGGTTAAAGGAGGAAGAAAGCTAAGAGATGGTGAAGAAGAAAGGAGGCAGCAACTGAGCCTCCAAAACCCACGCAAGAATAATCAGAAATGACCTAGATTTTTGTGCCACTTAGCTTATATAGGCGGTTTAAGATAAATCACACTGTATTAACAATAATATCTACGCTTATCATTTTAATCTCAAAC